CAGGCCTGGCCTGGGAATGCCTCATTGGCTTGGTTGTAGGGTTGTAGATGCTGACCTTCCTTGGAGTTGTGTGAGCTGTGGAAAAAGAAGCTGCAGTCCTAGGCAAAGGTTTACCAGCCACTTTTTTTTGTAGCTGGTAGTATAGTTAACTTACAAAACACCACCAGCCAAAAATTTTGGCTGTCAGCCAGTTTTCAAAATTACTAGCTACTTTTATTGGCTTGTACCAGCCTTGTTTCTTAGCTGGCAGCTACAAATCAAGGCTGCCAGCTAAAAAAGTTGGCTGATGACCACCCAAGTTTTGCGGCTGCCAGCTACCAAAAGCTGCACCCACCAAGTTTTGTGGCTGGTTGGATCTGCAGGGATGGGTACACGAGCTCAACGAGTGCTGCACGGAAACAAAAATGTCCGGTGCGCTTCGGCTAGCTTTCGACCTCCTCCTCCTACAGTGGCTACTGCTACTGCCACTGCTACTAAGACTACCACTTCCACTGCGGAGACCACTCCTACTACTAATATTGGAACTAGTGCTGCTACTACAACAACAACCACTAAACTGCCACTACTGCTACTACTACTGCTACTACTGCTGCTGCTGCTACTGCTCCGACCACTCCTACTACTAATATTGGAACTACTGCTGCTACTCCTACAACTACTACTAAACTGCTACTACTGCTGCTGCTACTGCTACTGTTATTGCTACTGCTGCTGCTGCTTCTGCTACTCCTATTCCTACTCCTACTCCTACTCCTACTCCATCTACTACTACTACTACGACGACGACTACTACTACTACGACGACTACCACTATCACTACCACTACCTCCACCCAGCCACTCGGCACCAGCCACTCAGCTACTCAGGTTTTCCTTCCTGTCAGCCACACAGGCTCTCCTTCCAATCAGCCACTCAACCACTCAGACTTTTCTTCCTGTCAGCCATGCCACTCAGGCTTGTCTTCCGTCAGCCACTCAGCCACTCAACCACTCAGGATGTTGTTCTTGTCAGCCACTCAGGATCTTGAGTGGCTGAGTGGCCGGTCAGGATCTTGAGTGGCTGAGTGGCCGCCGTGAACCGCGACCCGGATTGCACATACTCTCTTTCATCCAGCTGGTTCCAGCGGTTGGGTACTGGAAAGTTGGCACGCAAACAGCGGCGATTTTCTCGATTTGTTGCTCAAATTTTGGACTAAGGAGTTGGGACATGAACAGCTTAGTGGACTGGTGGATTTGAGTTGCGACACTGTTTCTTTTTTGGACCGCTATATCGTGGGATATGTGGGACGATATACGGATGATGATCGAGGCACGACGGACATGAGGAATGGCAGAACCATGGGAATTGTTCTGCCACGGATGATTGACGATGTTTGTTCAGCTTTCAGTACCATTCGCCCATCCTTCCAAACCTTGCCAACTTGGCAACTAAGAACCACAGCCTGCTGCACAAACCACAGCCTGCGAACGCATCAATCATATCATCCCAATGGATACACCACGGCCTGCCGCAGATACGGCCGCCGCTAGGTCTGTGTGCTTTGCACGACTAAAGTGGAGCTTCCGGGGGAGGTGCCAGCGCTACAGGGGGCTGGTGCAAGTGACATGGATGGGACAGGACCAGTTCTTCACAGTTTGATCCAGGTCCGGTCTCTTGGTTCTTGAAAAATTCATAGAAATTCATTCAGTATACAATGCTCTTATATCACTAACTCTGATAAAATGGATCAAACTGATCAGCAGAAGTAGGACTTCGTCATACTGCCACGGTGTTTTGTATTGTTCCATGAATGTTTGAACCTGAATAGAATATGTTTGAACCTGAATAGAATTATTTCTATATAGATACTCGTAGACCAATCGATGTCTATTTCGCCTCAAGTGTTCATGAATAGAAACTCATGAAGGAAGCTGAGATATGAACTTCACTCCAACCACAACCTCGAGCACCTGACATCGATTCAGTGCATCGAGACATGGGTCTCAAGATGTCTCAAGTACCTCGAGACATGGTGCTTGCTCCGCCAAACTTCATGGCTGATGGGGACCTAAGCATACCCAGACACGACCTGTCTGGGACTGCCATATATGCCGATCAAGCCAGACCCCCAGTCAACCACCCCGATCGGCCGTTTTGAAGGCAGTCCGTCCTTGCAGTCCCAAACAGGTCGCGGTCTGGGAGAGATCGAAACAGTCGACATTGGCGCAACACGGGCGTGGCAGACCGGGCGCCCTTGGGAAGACCATGGTACCCTTGCAGATCTCGTGTGGATCGCCCATGTGATGGCGAGGTCTGGCTTCGTGCATCCACAGGCATCCACAAGAACCCCCCCTTGTATGTTTGGGGGTCTATTTTCAGAGGCCCCCCAAAAGAGATGATATACGGGGTGTCCCCCAGGAGTGTCCATGCAAACTACCCATTTCCCTTGGGCCCCGTATGTCCTCTGGCTCCCAGTTGAGTTTCTCGTGTCATGGGTGTTTGGGGGACCAGCGACCAGCAAACCTCCACAGGCTGTACATGAATTCCCAAACCTCTGACCAATGCAGCCTGCAATTCTTTTTTTTGCATGTTTTGCATGTTTTCGCAGGGGGCCCAAAGTAGATGCAATGAACCAAAGGATTGTTAGACGTGAATCCATCGGTTTTTCTTGTTCAGCTCTTTCTCATGGGTACAATGATCCGATTGTGGGTCCCATTACTCGAAGGACTGCCTGCACCACCAAGTGAAGCAACTCATCCATGTCCTTCGTATCACCGCATGTCCTTCGTGCCACGCGTGGAGGCCACTGTGATCTTGGAACGCTCCGAAAGCGTCGGCCAGTCCATGTGTTTTCATTTTTTTTTGGGGGGGGGTTGGGTGGGGCGCCACCCGGACCCGACGATGGTCGTATTATTAGAAGAACATATGACACATGTGTGTCATGCCCATGACCTGAAACAAAGGTATATGAAAGAAGTCACTGACATGGAAGTGGAGTGCTTCACTGCTTCACCACCTGTTTGCGGAAGGGTCTGACCCGGAACCATCCCATGTGAAAAGACAAGGTTTTCCGAGAAAACCCAGGTTTTGATGTTCAAACATTTTCACATGTTGTTGACATAGCACAATACTAACATGTACTTTGTCTTAAACATGTTGATGAGCTTGCCAGCCACAGAGATTCACAAACAAGAAATGCATTGACGTCCTCTGGGCAAGCCCTCAGAATCCATAGATGTTCTACGGGTTTCTACGGCTTTCTACGAGTTTTCTACGGGTTTTCTACAGGTTGGGAAAAGCCAAGGTTTGTTTGAGAACCCTGGCTTTTATGGGTATCCACGGGTTCGCCATGGCTTGCCATGGGTTTTCTACTAAGCTCGCTGTCCACTGCCTCAAAAATGCATTTGTTCATCTTAAATGGTGTTCCAATATCATCAAGGGCACCTCAAAGACACAATGTTTTGATGATAAAGGAACATCTTTGTGGGACATAGAATCATGAACATTTCCTCACAAGGCCCTTTTCTTGGAAAACCCAAATTTCTCACTGAAGAGCCCAGGTTTTGACCAATTGACCCAGAAAAGCCGAGGTCCTTGTTCAGAACCTACATTTTTGTTGGCTTTTGATTCTCAAGGTATTACCCAGACACTCCATGTATGCCATATATGCCTACATTGACCCCCCAAACCACCCCAATGTAGGCGTATATGACATACATGGAGTGTTTGGGTTAGTAGAGTACGATTAATCAATTGGACAATGATATTACATGATGTTGTTGATACCGACGTTTTTTGCCTAAGATCCTTCCGGTGGAACGCAGTTCCCTTGTTGTGAACAACATGTCTTGTTAAGCGATTTTGCAAATTGACAGAATCATGTGTAATCAAAAGGACACTGGTCCAGATGGTGTAAAGGCAGTCGACAAGACATAGATGTTGTTTTGTTGACTTTATTTGTTAAATCCATCCCTGGCCAAGTACCCTTGACTGGAATCTCACTGTCGAATACTTTCCTCTTTATTTGGCCAAATACTCATGGTTGATGGAGAAAAAACACGTTTCACACAAACTTGCCAAAGAATTTCTACTTACTTTCTACTTGTAACGACGAGCCAGCAATTTTTTAGGTATGTTCAGACAAAAAATGGGTGTGGCCGTTGATGTCCGAATTGTTTCGGCTTTGGGGAGAGGTCTTGGTTTACATCCTCAGCTCTTTTGGAGAATTAGGAGAATGAGAGAGCGACCGGGTCTGTCCACCGTATACCAGCATGGGTCACCATGTTGCAGGGTCCGGGAAGGGAGCCATTTGCAGTATAGTTGGAAGACAGCTCAGCTGCTAGCGTTGATTTCTCACCGAAATGACAAATACTGTGGTGGGCACTGCGGGGTTCTCCCAAGTTCAACGGTTACATACTGTTTAATGGCATGATTGGACAACCAAACCCCAAGTCAATTTGCTCGGAAGCCAATGGCTGAGAAAAAGGGTGTGTATACCTCTTTAAAGCGGCTTTGTGGCCGCGGCTACGGCCGTTTGCACATCTTCCACCATTTTGGCACCCCTGCTTGGAGCAAAAGGTACTCCGGACGAGGTGTCTTTTTGTTATTCCCTCTTCTGGGGTGAATCGAGGTTTCGCCAGCCTGGGAGATGGGCAACGCTCTGGTGAAGATATGTGAAGACGTGCGCCGGCCCTGCAGCGTAAAACAGCAAGCAAAGCCAATAGGGACCGGGCCAGGAATTAAAAAAAAACAAAAATAATATAATAAAGAACAGACATTCATAGACATGCGCAGCTAGAAAACACTCCGAGAAAATCCGTCAAACCGTGCCCGGAGCGGTTTGTTTCGTTGATTCCCGTTGGGGTCATTCCAGACACCCAATTGAAGCTTCACCTGGCAGAAATCGAGAACATCTCCATCCTCCATCCGGAAAAGCCACCCTTGGCAGCTGCATCCCCGACACCCACCGGCTGCGGCCCATCAAGACATCCCAAGACCTCAGACCTCAGACCTCGAACGGACCAAGCCCATCGAGTCATGCCGACCTCGGGACTTCAGCCACGACCCGCTCGCGCCCGGACCCGTCGTGCATGGCACGCTGAGCGCGAGCGCTGACGTGACGTGACGCGCGAGGTCGGGTGGAACCGGACGAGCCGACGTGGATCGGTCCGGCGGCCGACGTGGCAGCCGCCTGGGGGAGCAGGCGGAGGAAGAACCCGAGGTCCAGGTGGCAGTACAGAAGTGATTTCGATCCTGTCTTTTTTGGGGAGAGACGACTTGGGTGCATGTTTGGAGGGACGGTTTGTCCAGAAAGTGTGAGGTTGGGATATCGTGATGGTGATGGGCAGTGATGGGTTTGGCTGGATCTGCAAAACCTCCTGGTCGGGTCTCCAACGAATTGTTGGAAAGCCCTGACTGAGTACTTCACGACCTGTCTGGGACTGCCAGGACGGACTGCCGCCCCAGCCAGACCCCCCAAACGCACCACCCCTGGCCGTTTCTCGGCAGTCCGTCCTGGCAGTCCCATGGGTCGTGTCTGGGTTTGGAAAGGGTTGACTTCGAGGATGTCGACATGTTTGATGAAAGAACCTTGGACGGGTCACGCCCTGGTCGACCTTTTGGGTGTGTCGGTCGATGTGCACAAGGACATGCTTTCGGGGTCTTCTCTGTACAAGCATGCACATAGCTTGTAAAGATTCGGGTGGTGCTTTTGGTCTTTATCATCTCTACTTTTGCATGACTGAACCATACCCCAAACACTCCATGAGACTGCCATATATATGCCGAGAAACGGCCAGGGTGGTGCGTTTGGGGGATCTTTCTGGGGCGGTCCGTCCTATCGCATATCGCAGTCCGGTCTACAGGTCGTGTCTGGATACTGAACCCACTGACTGAACAATCTGTCCTGCCCAGACGCGACCCTGGACCCGAATTTTGTGGAGGGGTCGGACCCTCATATGGAGGGGTCAGGGGTCTCATATGGAGGGGTCAGGGGTCTCAAATCCCTATATAGTTTTGAGGGACCAGTCGGGCTGTTTTCACGGAGCGTCTAGGTGTTTCGTTTTTCACCCCAACCAGTGATTCAAGTCCCTCGAGTCGAGGACGGAGCCCCTGGCGGGTCGGGGGAGAATGCAGAGATGAAGGCGTGGTAGACCAGCTGGTTGGAAGGGGCCCCTGTGGTCGACCAGATGGTCAACCAGATGGTCGACAGTGCTTTTGGTTTGGTTTTGGGATTCCTCACTAAAGCACTAAAGGTGTTAAACCCTTAGCAAAGGACCAGCCTGGACAGGCGAGGATGGAGGGAGGTGTTGCATTTGGCGCACTTGGCCGGGTGGGACATGTTCCGTTTGAAGCGCTGTTTGGCTGTTTGAGCGGTGTCACCAGTTTGTTGAAACCACACCAGATATTCCAGGAGTCAGATTTTTTTGTCCCATCCAGGGCTCGTGGATGTGACAGGGGCAGCCCAACTTCCTCCATGAATAGCACCCCGGAACACCTGGTGGATAGGATCTTCATGGGAGTCCATGTTTGCCGGGTCCTTACAGGTCTTTGCCTCCATACGTTGATCGCTCATGGGGCGGGTGAAATTGGGATGAAATTCTCTTCAATGGGCTGGTTCAAGCATGAGGAGATCGTAAAGACTCAATCTCTTCGTGAGGAGAGATCCCAAAGACCAGCAAGCACTACGACGATGGATCCGGCCGGTGGCATTGACAGGGACCGTAGTGTCCCTGTCGCTGACCTATACAGGGTTTCAAGGATCCGGACCCCAGACTGTACAAACGTACTTTCTGGAGGTTCCAGGCCTGAAGTGGCGCCGGCAAGACGGTTCCGTCGTGCCCAATTTTGACTTTGGAGCGGGACTGCCGACACTCATTTGAGACAGCGTTGAACCTGCCGTTCTCTTGCCGGAAGGGGGCTTTCGTTGATGTGCCTTGGAATTCGCTGGCATCCCAGCTGGGGCTCACGTCAGAACAGTCTCTCAGGATGAATGTGGGAGAAGTGAGTGACGTTGGCTGGTCAAAGGCATTCGGACAGATGGCTCTTGCATCTTGCTTGACACTATAGCTTTCGTTGCGCCGCTGGCTGTGGAAGCCCTGCTGCGTATCAACAAAGGATCGAGCTTTGTCTTCGTCATGACTGCTTCATTTGTGCTGATCCCGGCGGTTGGATGGTTCTTCAGATTTGAGCCCACGGGTGTGACAGGCTTTGGGAGAGCCGTCTTTTTAGTGGTGATGTTCTTTCTCGTTCGGGAAGGAGCTAGAGATTGCGACAGTTGCAATGGCCGTGGCAGCAGCAGGTACTTTGAAGCGCGTAGATCAAGGATGGGCCATCATCATGATGCAAGCCATATCAAAATTGGCTTTAGCAATGGGCGTCGTTTCCTTCGGTTTGTACTACCAGCCCAGGACGGGCGGAACATTTTTGCATCGGTTGACGTCTTCACCAGCCGATGCCACATTAGTGTACCGAACATGGTTGACCTTTTGTGAGCTGATCCCCTTGAACGGATTTGGGCGATGACTTTCCATCGAAGCCCTACTGCTCGATTGGCCCTGCGGCCGCCCCGCTACAGATGCGGTGTCGCCCTGAGCATGCTGCCATGGTTTGCCTGAGCTTCCTTGCAGCTGTGCTGGTGGCACTGGAGCTGCTGGAGCTGGCCGGTCCCGATTCCAGCGCCACGCCATCGAGGCCGAGGCCCACCAGCGAGCACCTCCTTGACTTCTCGGCCCCGCTTTGAGGAACTTTTGAGCATGGGGTGTGGTGAGGGTGAGGGTTCCTTTTGCAATCTAATCTTGGCCTTCTTCAAAGTAATCATGAGCAGAGGGCATGCATTCCCCGGCCACTTTACGGCCAGGATGTGGAAGATGCACCATTGTATGAGGAGACTCGCAGTCAGAGACTTAGCCACAAGTTTTGAGGCATGGCTTCTCGTCAGATGAACTTGCATGCCAGACACCTCAAGAAAAGTCGATTTCAGGACCTTACGCAAGACGCGGAAACTGCCACTCGTCGACATGATCAACAGTTCATGCCATATAGTTAGACGTCTGGTTGGATTCCGAGCCGCCAATGGCCTGCCCCAAAGCCCCTGAGCTGAACTCGGCATCCTGCATGAGCACTTCCGCCAGTTTTTTTGCACCATCGTCTGTGGTTTTTTCCCAGCGTTGAAGCTTCATGACATGTCATTCTCTGTTCATGAACTTGCTGACTCCCTCTCCAGAGTCAAATCTACCAAGGCTGTTGCATCCGGGGTCTCTCCATCCAGATGTCCTCCAAGCATGTGCCTGGCCCCTAGCGTAACAATGTCATGCCTATCTCCCTCACAGTGCTGGTGCTCACCCCGTGCCCGCCTTAGACGCTACTACTGACGAAGGGGGGTTCTGGACCCCCCACAAAGGGGGTTGCCTCCTGTTGGCATTGTCCCATGTGTCGCGTCCGACGACCGGCTTCTACTGCTCCCTCATCAATGGAGGACTTGAAGAGTGCATGGCTTACGCTGATAGCCAAACGATCGATCCACTCATCCAAAGATGTTCGTCTCATAGCCCTGACGGTTTGACCTTTGATGCCATTGTTCTGGTTTTTGATCACTCACACTCGACCGAATGAGTGGCAGAAGAAGGCCTCAAACTCCCCAGCCTTGAAGACTCTGTTGATGGAATGGCTGAGACATGCACCCTATCACCTCTCACATAGGGGGTTCAGAGTGCGCTTTGCTAAGGCCTGGAATTTTTTGAGTGGGACCACTCCCAGAAATTGTGATCCAGCAGAAGACGCCCATCCCTCCCGAGAAGCTGCAGCAAGGCCTGGAGGAACTGATCAAGCTCACACGCTGTCCCCACCAGTTGATCCGATTCAAGAGTCTACAGAATCTGGCCTCGATCACGACGCGATTGTGCCCTGGCTCCTCCAGACGTCCCTACAGGAAGGCCGCCTTTGGGACCAACTTCAATGGCTGATCGAAGGGCGCCTTCGTCCCCACACTCCTCGACCCAATGCCTTGATCACGAATCTCTTGAAATTCCAGGGGCGCAGTGGCCCATCAAGCCATCTACCCGGACAGCTGCCGAGCGGCCATTCCATCCTGGAAATTGCGCAATTGCTTTGAGGTCTGTTGGCTGAATGCCCCTATGCCGGCCTTTGCTTGGGCATTTGTTCAACGGCAAGAAGCCTTTTGGGAAGAGTTCAATTGCTGCAAGGCGGCCACGCAAAGCATCTTCAGTCGAGTGGCCCATGCCTTGGATTTACTTACCGCTACGGCACTCGAGCCTTTCCTCCGGCGCTGGGCACAATTGGGCCAGCAGGAGCTCTTTGAGTTCGTGCAATCCTTTCTTCAGTGGAGTCAGCCCAAGCCCTACAATGGGGCTTGGGAGCGCCGCTATGTTGGGGCTGAGGGGCTCTGTGCGCATGAGTATGGGGAACGTCATACCCCTCTCTTCATTTCACCAGGGGAACAAGAGGTAAAAAATGTGTCTCTCCAGTCACTGCTTGATGAATGGCACGGTATGACACCAGGCCTCCTCACGGATTCACCACTGCTTCGCGTTGCTGACAAAGCCACGCTGCACCAAGGCCAGTTGATCAAGGCTCCTTGGAAGCTCGGTATCCCGGAAACAATGCTGGTCCCTACCTTCCGAACAGAAGATGACATCCTGCTGAACTTTCGACAGTACGCGGTCATGAGTTTAGTGGTCCATCAACGCAGCGGCGTAATCACACTTGAGGACGCACTTTGCAAGCACGCTGCAATGTCGGCACAAATGGCACAGCCGGGCACCTTGGGCCAGACCAGCGAAAATGAAGAGATTCCTCTATGTTCAGGATGTCAACCTACCATGGTTTGGTGGGGTTACTGTTGACCCACAGAACCATGGTACCAGTCCCATTGTGGTGTTTCAGGGGCCAATGTATAGGCATATACTCCATACATGTAGTGTCTGGGTACCAGACAGGTCATTGGTTTCCCTCTGAACATGTTGAAGCACCGAGATCTCCGGGACACACAGGCCGCGGGTCCATTCGTTGGGATCCACGGTCGTGTCGTCCACGTCGACGACGGTTTGGGGCCAAGCGGCGCTCCAGGCAGATGAGGAGGATGTCACAGCGACTCTTGGATTGGACGAAGAACGGCAATTTGGGGACTCCCTAGAGGTCCAGGGACTGAAGATGTTTTGGGAGCAAGCAACTAAAGGATATCAACATATATATATATATATAGTTATGTATGTTTCGTGTCACACTAAAGACCATCTAAAACATGGTCGACTGGACTCCCAGGGTAATTGTTTAGCTACGGCCGCGTCGCCCCGGTGCGTTGCAATTTGGCGAAGCTAGCTCCGCTGGTGCAGCTGAACACGCAGCCGGCACTTGACATGATGTTCCTTGGTACAACGACCTTGCGAACGTGATACTGAAAGAAATAACTGAAATTGCTGAACCTGTCCGAACCTTGAGAGTTTTGAAATGCTTTGAACCAGGCTAGAGAGAAAACGGTTTTACTGTAAGTTCACTCACTTCCCCGTTGCATGGGAACCGAAGATCGTGGATTCTGCCATGTTGAATTCTCCAAGTTCTGGTGATTCTGCCAATTGTTTGGCGCCTTGGGCAACGTCTCTAGTGAAGGGACATGGAAGACCAAACAGAAACAAAGAACATCAAACCTGAAAGTATTGGACTTTCCTCTGCTCCAATGACAGTCCATGTGGTATTGAGATTAGTCGTTCTTCTGAACGAAATCAGCAGTACAAAGAGCCATGTTTCCCCTAGCTCAGAACCCAGAACCCTTGCTTGAGAAACATTATCCAAAAGAGTTATGTTTTGTCCCAGATTCTACATTTGGGATGAGTTCAAGCTAAAGTCTCAGTGACATGAGTGAATTCGTGCGAAAGCCAAGTGTGGGTACGGTCAAGTGTCATTCACATTGAGTTCATTGCGTTGTAAAGTCATATAAAGTCTCACGAAGGACCGGCTACTCTCCGTGTCATTATGGAAGTGGATGCTGATCTTGCAGGGGCTTATTGTCCACTTCCATGTCAGGGAGTGTTCATGATTTTGGTGATGAGATTCATTGGAGGTTCCATCTGTTTTTTCATTTTTCTGCTCATCCCATGTAAACCTCGGAAGGTTCTCGAAAGCTTCGTGACCTTCACAGCGACCGACAACCCCCCGAACCCCCTCCTGGTCACTTCCGAAGTTCCAAAACCCCACTGAGGCAGACCGCTCCGGAGGACACCGCTGAAGAGGCGCGTCGCTTCGAAGCGGACGACCGGACGACCGGACGACCCTGGACCGGACGACCGGACGGTCCGTGGATGGAACGGTGTCCAGTCCGTGGAGGGCGTGGCTCCATGGAGTGCCTGAGCGGTGTCCACGGCCAAAAGGGTACAGTGTCAAGAGTTTTTGGGGTTATACAGCTATACGGTATCTATGCATTGGGTATATGTGGGTTTGTCCTATTCATTGCCTGTAACAGGACCTGTTTACCCAGCAAATCACTATTGTTGAACAAGGCCTGCAACATGACCATCATCCACTGTTACAGGTAATAGGATAGACCCAATGTATGCATACAAACAATCATATATACACATGTTTTTGTGAGAGAGCGGGGTGCCATGGGTGGAGATGTGAAATTGTATAGTATTTGGGGTCAGTTGCGGTGTGATTTCTGATTCAGTTTGACGTTTCTCATTAATTAATCATTATGTGACAGATGTTAGGATGCCAGAAGCAGCTAGAAGCATAGTTGCTCAGATGCCAGAAGAATGGAATCACCAAGAATCAACAAATCTTTCAAGGAAAGCCTTTGACATCAAAAGGTTTGTAAAAGGAATCAAATATGATTTCAAATCAATTCAAGAGGAATTTAACATGGGTAACAAATAGGGATATAGGGATTGACAAGCAGACTTCCCAAACCTGTGCTAGAGCTTTCCATGCAGTGCAGGTCTGTGCGTGCCCAGACTGACACCAAAACAAGCTCAAACAGCCAACAGTTTTCTAGTAGGGGTCTCGGGGGCAAAAAGCGACAAATCATGACTGAAAACAAACATGAAAAGAACGCGTGGACATCTTTTGCAGGGGCCTATTGGGGTGGTGATATATCATGCCAAACCACATTGGGGTGGTTATGCCATGAAAACTCACCTACCATGCCAAACTACTATGGGTTCTTTCGAATGACAAGACCAACCCCGCGTGACCCGGTCAGGCTGACACCGATGCCCAGCGACCCCCCACGGCCGCTGCCGAACCGGGGGTCGTGGAGGCGGCCCAGGCGGCCCCTTGGGCCGAAGGAACCATCGAGACGTGGGGCCGTATTGTGTCTGATGGATTGTAGCACTGTAGCTATGTAGAACGCCAGACTTGCTGACATCTGGTGTGAAAGCGTGGGGGGGCGGGTTTGCTAAGCTGTTGATGCAAGACCGATATGCGACTTGCAATTCAAGTCCCCATCATCCCAGGGGGGTTCCTTGGCCATCAACAGGATGTTAGCCAGAACATCTCATGCTTGGTAGCTCTTCTACCGGACTTGTGAATCTTTTGGATTGTGGGAAGAAAGGGTCGAGGACGCTACGAACGGGACGCTCCTGGCCTTACTACGAACATAACAAGAAGCTACGAACGTCACAAAGGGCATCGCTATGAACGGAGCGATTGGACGCTACGTTCAGGGCGCTCCTGGTTGTGTGGGCGCTTTGTTGGATAGGAAAAATGTGGTACCTTTCGATTCAACGATCGACGGTGCCAGCTCCACATAGCCACCGGTCAATTTCACTCCTTCCATTTCCCTGCAAATACATATATTCTCAACATGTTGTCAAGTTTGTGGTCGAGCTGAGGAAAGCTTGACTGCCGACGATGAAAAGAAGGCAGAGCAGCATGAAGAACAGAAGGAAGAGCAGGAGGAAGAACAGACGGAAGAGCAGAAGGAAGAACCAAAGGAGGAACAGAAGGAAGAACAGACGGAAGAGCAGAAGGAAGAACCAAAGGAGGAACAGAAGGAAGAACTGAAGGAAGAACAGAAGGATGAGAACGGAACCGATGTGAGAACTCAGGCGTGAGAGACTCGACAGCTGGAGGCTCGAGATGTCTACATCTTGAGTCTCCAGCTCAGGGGACGTCGCTGGGAGTTCGACGAAAACCACGGACCTCGTACCGCCTGGGATCCTTTGGGGAGACACCCAAAAACCGGGTAGACTGGATCGTTTGGGTCTATTTTCCAAACCTTCCAGGGAGTCGAACTCACTGGGAGGTCTCCCTCTTCTCATACCGATTTCTTTTGCCGCTATTTTTTTTAAATGTTTTCCTTTGTGCGTAGCGCGTCGCGGAACCTTCACTCGCGTGCTTCAGACGTTTGGAACTGTTTGGACGTAGCGCTGCAGTGGAGCTGCGGCATGTTTTGTTGTTGAATCCATGTTCATGAAAGGTATCGAACCGTGTGTGATCTCTGCAGCATCCATTGGCATTGGGAGGATGAAGCGACGAAAGAGGAGGTTGAAGCGAAGGAGGGCGTGGAGGTTGTAACGAAACCTGCCGTGGAGGAAGAGGAGACGAAGGATGAAAGTAAGGAGGATGAAGCCACTGCAAAGGTCGACCTTGCGAATGAAGAGAAGGAGGACAAGGAGACTGAGAAGCAAGTAGACAAGGTCCTTGGCTTCAACAAGTTTCAGCTCAGATGGAGACTAAGTTGGAGATCCGGTCGACTCAGTTAGGGAAACACAGCGGGAAACAGTTTGCCCGGCATGTTCGGTTCACCCACAAATCACTGATCACCGTGCCAACGTGTTTGAGGCATCAACCTACTGTACCCAGGAAGCACATGGATAACCTGAAAGAAACAAAACAACACTTTTTGTTGGGGATTGGGACACCCCCCAGTCAACAAGACTAGGTGGAACGTTCAGTTACCCAGACGCTCCGTTCACAGCCCGACTGGTCCCTCAAAACCCTAGGGAATTGAGACCGCAGACCCCTCGAGAGGATTCGGGTCCGACCCCTCCAGAGGATTCGGGTCCAGGGTCGCGTTTGGGTAACCTCTATATGTTCCTGGGAAACGGCGAGTCAGGAAGTCAGGGATGGGAGCGGAGCTGGAACCGGTGGCCAGGCTGGAAAGCCGTGTTCACGCCGGACGGTGTTCTCGGCGGGCCGTATGACATAGCATTTAAAGCACCCCAAATTGATGGGTAGTTTGATGGGTATATGTAGGGTTTGTCCGTTCTTACCTGTAACAGGACCTGTAAACAAGCAAATCACTATTTTTGGACAAGGCCTGGAACATAACTATCATCATCCACATTACAGGTAATAGGATAAACCCATGGCCCATGGTATATCTGCCAGTCCCAGACAGGTCGTGCGTGGCATAGACACGGCCACCAATTCGCACCAAGAAGGCCATTTTCGCTGGAATCGGGTTTGGTGGTTAGATCAGGCTCAAACCCCTGTTCCATCTTCGAAACGGAGGCAGGCCAGGAACCCTAGAGGGAACTTGCCTTTCTGCTGCTGCCTTAGGTGTTGAAAGCTCCAGTGTCAGAAGATGAGAAGGTCGTTTGCGAGGTCGCTGGAACAGAGGAGAAAACCACGTGTCTCGGACGTGCATAGTCTTCGGATGGCGGGCAAGTTTGGGAATGGACTCAGAAAAACACATGAAACCACAAAACGGACAGAAAAACAAGCTGAACAAGACATGATGATGTTGTTTCATGTTGTGGTTTATTTCGCTCCATGTCGTTCGGTTACCCAAGAGAAGCTTTCCGTTGCTTGAGTCGAGTGTTGCAACTGACTCACATCAGTTCCGGGCTTATTGAAGTCACTCACCATCAGGATCGCTATTAGGTTGGAGGCCATCGCTACGAACGTAACAAGGGCGCTACTAGGTGGAGGCCACCGGATGTGCTGGCTGAGGGGCTCCCAATAGGAGTTCCCCAGCAACAAACATGGGTGAAGTTCGTGAACACGGCACCCGATCAAAGCGCGCCAAGGCACGCCAAAGGTGGTACGCACGAAGGCTTAGCACGAATGAGAACCTATATAAATTCTAAAACGGAGATTGAGATGTTCCAACAGAGGTTAAGTGACCTTGTAGGACACTGGGGTACCTATAGGATAGTCTAGTTCGGGTTCTTCAACCTTTGCTGGTTATGTTGAAGTTAGAATGATTTAGATCAAACAACAACTTGGTTCACCTTACTCAACATCGAGGGCAACCCCAGGTTTATCCTTTGTTCATCGCTCTTAGGTCACCGACCAATGCAGCCGACCAAGGCCGGTGAAGGAAAATGAAGAGGTGGAGGAGAATGAAGAAAAAGCTCTACCCACAAATGAGGCTAATGAGGCTCGGATGGCTTTCATCCACACAGTTTTTGGTGTTTTGTTTTGCTGCCTTGATATGAACCTGGAAACACTTAACAGCCAATCAATAATATAATATATGTTTCTTCCACCAAATCTTCTGAATCAAACAAACATAACTGGGTGTCCAGCAATGGGTTCTCTCGAAGCTACCGAGGAGTGCTTCTTCAGAACCTGGCCCTACAGGTCAGTTTGACCCCATGTTACTGGAGTTGGTCATGCCAAAACAAGCAAAAACACTAGGAAGCTGGAGGTAAAAGACCAGGTTTTACTTGGTCTTTCGAGGTTGAAGGACTATCCCAGACTATCCCAGTTGGGTACCCCAGGTGACGGGTCCTATGTACGGTCACAAGGAAAACCTCTCTTGGTGGTGTTGAACTCACTTTTTGCGTGATCCGCGATGATCTCTGAAATCTGTGAGGACGAGAAGGAGAAGGAGGAGAAGGAGGTCCCAAAGGAGGTCCCAAACGTGGCGGAAGAGGGGAAGCTCGCCCTGGTACGATGAAGCAGCATTTTTGGGTGCTTTCCAGCGATTTTGCGCATCATTTTGGGTGGATACGTGAACTACATAGTACATAGGACACATGTTGTCTATAGTCGTCTATATTTTGTCGTCTCTATGGTACTCTACATGTTTTTGTGGCTGATTTTAACGACATAGACGATGTAGAGGAAGATGGATTGAGGATTTCTGTTTTCGGCCAACAATCAGCACACCGGGCCGCCAGAAAGCTCACCTCTTGTTCGATCCATCGGGGGACTTACATAGGATCCAGAGATCTATCAGACCCTAGGGATCCAGTCGGACCTTCTCAGAAGGTGTTTGGGGTGGGTGCCAGGAGGGTCCAGGTGCCTTCTGAGAAGGTACGACTGGATCCCTAGGGAGAGATCTGTTTTCGCCTTTATTTTCCCTCCCGTTTTTGGGATGCAGAGATCGCTAGCCACGGAACCATCAAGAACCCCACGGGGCTTCTCCCAACCCAACGAAGGGCGAGCTCCCTTCGCCTCGCGTCTCGGGCGCGCCGACGACCTCCCAAGGACGAGTGCCGGTCTGGCGAGGGGCGGTCTGGTGACCGATCCGCCGGTGGAAGCGGAGAAGGAGGAGAAGGAGGAGAGGTCAAGTCTTCCAAAGGAAGGTGAAGCATCTGACTTGGAGGCGCGCGCCGCGCCCGATAAGGGTCCGGTGGTAGGGCCATCACGGGGGCTCACGTGGGACGGAGCGGCAGAAGGCCGAAGGACGGGGTGGTGGAAAAAGATCGGATTTGTAGATGGCTCAAAAACGGATGGTTGACGTCAGATGTGCGGCCAGAGTGGAGACGCCGGCCATTTGGCATGAACTGTCCGGTTCAGAGAAGACTTGGGAAAGGTGGGAGTTTGATGGAGTTTGCGTCGGAATGGTTTCGCGGTTGGTTGAGTCTGGGGTGAGGTTGTGAGGTTCTGGAAGTTTGGCGACGGGTGCAGATCGAATTGGGTGAAGTGAGCTTCAAACCCAGTCTCAACATGTCCCAACCAGAAACAGTTCTGGTTGTTCCAAAAAACATGGCTTAATTAATCTGGAGATCCTAATGAGATCCTATTATAACAAGTGCTTGGGACAGGGGCACTGCCATCATGTACCATCTGTTTCCTGCGTTGGGACTGGATGAATCCAGCTTGGAATCCGCTTCCTCCTCTTCGGCCACTCCCCGGCCACCGTCCCCATGGGCAGGACGATGGTGCTGAGAGGGCAACGGAGGAGAGGGGCAGCGGAGCGAGGGCGGGATCGCGTCGTGCCCGGCAGACGCTCGGGAGAGCGTCGGTCCTGGTTTCCATCGGTTTCCCATAGCGTTCGGACGCTACTACTAGCTGTAGGGTTAAGTCGAAACAATTGAAGGGAAGTTCGTATCATGTGTGCATGTGCGCAGTGTTTGACATTCTTTTTGCAGTTTTGATCTTGTGGTGTGATGTTATTCAATTTGTTTTCCAAGATGTTTTCCTGCGTGCGCGCAGTGTTCTGGATCTTTTTGCAGTTTTGTCGCCGACGTCACACTGGACTCCTTAACAGAACATGTCATATATAGAGCTGCCTGCGCAGAGAACTGTTACAAACCGAGCCCAGCAGGCCTTACTTTCTTTGGCACAATGGCACAATTGACGCTTTCTGTCAACTTTTCCATGACTTGGCACATCACACGCCATGACCGTGGAGATCGTCCAGGATGCTACTGTTCCTTCCTCAGGCTGAGGACCTGCCATAGATTCTTCATTCTTCTTCTGCTTCCACCTGAGTTGCCTTCTTGCACTTGGAGACGGGAAGTCCTTTCGCAGCCTTGTTGCTGCTGCGAAGTATGCTCTGGAGAACAAGCTTGACAAGGCAGTGAAGGCTAATCGGCTAATCCTAGTGTGTGTTCCCAGATTTGCATCGCTGCAGGTGAGTTCAGAGATGTTGGAGAAAGCTCGAGAGAACTATTTCTGCTCGAGCGAGGCACTGTGGAAGATTAGCAGTGTGAGAGAAAGGTTGCGGATTTCTGAGCATACCTCAGAAGAAAGATTTGCTGAGGCACGTGGTGGCTATGAGCATGTCGAATCGGTCTTTACTGCCAAGCGAAGTGAAGCACCCTATGTACAAAATGTGGCTGCTGAATGCATCTGTTATTTCTGCAGAGGCGAAGGAAAAAGACCTGCCATGGGATCAATATGAAAGTTATGCTCCATCTATGGAGCGCTGCTACAACGATTTCAGGCAATGGGTGCGTGACACTGCTCCTGCAGAATGGAAGTTGTTCAACAAAAAGACTGTCGCCAAGACAGCTGAAGAAGCTGCAGACATATGTCCCCGCACAGTCAACTTACATTTCGATTTGCTTCACAAGCTGTTGCAAGAGTGTGGCCTTTTGACAGAGACAGGCGCCTTGAAGAAAGAAGCCTCCACAGCCATCTGGTGCTGTGATGAGAGGGTTGGCTGGTGCTGCTACTTTGGCTTTCAAACATGCTAAGGCTGTGTCCATTAGAAGTGTAAGGGATCAGCCAAGATGCATTCGTGGTCAACTGTCTGGCCATCCGCAACGGTCATGGCCACAGAGAATGGGAGCTGCACAGCTGCTTGATTTTCGCAAGTGTTGGGCCTCTTCGGGAAGTTTGTTTGGAAGAAATGAAGGTGAACCCCACCATTCCTGTCGTTCTACTCCTCGACTCGGGCGGCGGAGGACAGCTTCACATAACTCCTGAAGCATCCTTGGTTGCAGAGCATTTCTCGATCCGTTTGTTCTTCTTTAGGAAGAACATGACCCCGAACAAAGAAGCAGAGAAACGATGGCATCAAATTTTGGCAAGAGGAACCCACGAGCTTTCAGCGCTGGGACTGTACTGCGCCAGGGAAGCAACCAGCTCGAACACGCAGCATGTTTTATTGGTTTTGTTTAGAGGCTTGGCTTAGATTGTTCGACGTACTTTGTGTTTTTGTCACGCAAGCTGCATCTTTGAGCATACCTATCGCAGGCAGTCTATTTTGCAAGGCTTTGAAAGTGTTGGCTTGAAGGCTGAATCAAAGCTCAACAGGTCCAAGTTGCTGGTGGAATCGAGCTGCTGAGTTCATGAAAAGCAATGTGCCAAAGGCTGAAGTTGGCTTGGAAACGCTGGAAGGTGAAACTGTGCTGCAGATACTATACACGCTTCCTAGCAAAACAGCCAGTTGCGCTGCATGCGGTGAGTTTACTGCGAGGCATCGTTTCAGTGGTCAAAGGTGCCAAGTCAGGTGGCTATGCCAAGCAAAAAGATGTCTTCGATTTATCCCAGGTTCTGGATGCAGTTCCGAGTGAGGAGAAACAGAACCGCTTCGCACTTTGCGGAGATCTCCTGACTGAGAGGAGAAAGCGCAAGGCAAAGAGTGATGCCGCTGAAGAACCGCCCAAGAAAGCAAGCACAGTCCAGACCGCAATGCATCCTGAGCCAGTGTTGGAGAGCGATTCCGACCGAGACGATTATGACCTAGAGTCAATGGAAGATGCGACTAAATACATGTTAGTGCATTCCCGATCCTTCTTGGGTCAGTGGTCACATACTTCTTAGAAGAGATGAGAGAATCTACCAAGAACAAACCGCTCAGTTGCTTGATCACAATCAAAGTGATCAAAACAGGCCGGTTAAAATGCAAAAGTGGAAGTGGACGATCAACCTTTTTGAGCGCTTGGCGTGCAAACCGCGAACAGCGCTTCGCTCCGAAGCCGAAGGTGCACTAAGTTGGAAAAGACACTGCCATGTGCTGTGCCACTGTGATTCTTCAGCGAAAGTCATCAAAACGTTGAACAAGGATATTGCTGATGACTCATTGTGCACAATGTGTTCTCCAATTGGTGCCCTTAAGAACTTATTATAAAGCAGGTGTGCCACGCAGTTTGTGAGATGTTGATGTGACTTTTACTTGGTGATGTGACTTTCTTACAAATCGCGCTGCCATGGGCTTGATGTGACTTCTGCCCGGATGATGTAACTTTAGACCCTGCGCTAGTAGTATAGCTCCTGCCCTTACTACGGAACAAGGTTCGCTACTACAGTAGCAGGGAGCCAATGCGTATTCCCTTTGATCAGGCATCCTGGACGGCGACTTCCTAGGTTGTGCGAACAGCAATATAATTTACGTACACGACCACGACATTGCGCCATGAGCCTGAAAAAGGTACGGAGGTAGTTTACCCCCGGATATATAGGAGCCTCTGTTTGAAGCAATAAGGTCCTTTTAGAGACAAAAACCACGGGCTTCATGTACCGCTGTTGGGGGGGGTCTCGATCCCCTGGGTCCTGTTGCGCAAGAGTCGTCCCAGGCCATCTCCCATCGAAGTACCTCCTGAGCTAGGTCTCCTTTTTTAGGTGAGGGTCCGTATGCTTCCAGAGGATGGTCTCATTGCCGGTCAAACGACATCCGATTCGGATGCTTTTGAGGTTGGTCCTTTTAAGAGGGTCCTTACTGCCAGAGAAGCGGTCCTTGCCAGGGGTCGTGAGAACGACATCCGATCCGGATGCTCCTGGAGTCTCCGAAAGTGCTCTTGATCATGGCCTATGTACCATCTTTCTTGGGGCTTCCGGATCGCAATGATGCCCTTGTACATCTTTTGGGAGCATGTTCATATATTGACATCAACAACAATGAATCTGTTTAGGATGTTTAGGTGTGTAGTGGTCCTGGTGTGTTTCAGAATATCATTGTTTGCGTCCCTCTTTTCAAAGGGTACGTTTCCGATGTTCATTCATAGTTAATTCGTTTGTCAAGAGATCATTGCATCGATCTTTCTAAGTGTTGTTTGACATGGACGGACCCTATTCACGAACCCATGGCATACCCATGCCATGGTTTCTTCACAGGGCCGAGGTTTTCCCGCCATCATCATCACAGTATATTCCGTCATCGTACAGAGGTTTCGAAGAACACTTGTGTTGTAAACGCAGCCAACAAACTCAGGGAAATTAACGCGACGTGGACCATGTTTCACGTTGTCGTGGCTTCCCATGTCTTCATGTCTTAGAACTGCTTCCAAAGGATCGAATGGTTGGTGACTCGAGTGCCCTTGTGGACTTTACGCCTCGCCTCAGCGCCGCTGTCTCTACTGCGCCGCCGGTGAGGAGGCCACAGCGCTGGTCTCCACGGCGACGTCGCCAGCGGAACCCCACGAGGCGCGGTGAGGAGCGGCGGTTTCAGAGGTGAAGGAGGTGTAACGGGTAAGATAGGAGACCCTAGGGATCCAGTCGTACCTTCTCAGAAATACCCCACTCTTAAAAATGCTATTGTCTTGGGACGATACGTCAGAAATTGCATTTTCTAATTGCATTTTAAAGGTGTCTACTTGGCTATCACCAAGTCATTCCAAGTGCATTTTAAAAAATCTACTGCTTTTTTTAAACGTGTTTTTCCAGTTCCATTTGCTATCAACATCTCGAGATCTGCAATTTTTGAATAGAAATCTCAATTTAACCTCCAAAATCTCACATCCGACATCCTACCTGGTAGGATGTCGGATGTGGCCAACTTTTCAATGGAAATTTCAATTTAAAGGCATCCCAAATCTCCAAATCTCAATGGAAATCTGCAAATTTCTCAATTCTAGGGGTGTTCATTAACCAAGGGACCACATTAGACAAACATCACTTTCAGCAGCCACATCCGACATCCTATGTCGGATGTGGTCGGATGTGGAGTTTGGCTTTTGATGTTTTTCAGGTCTTGGAGGCCTTTGTATGGAGATTGAAAGTTTTTCAACACTAACAGATTTCCAATTGCATTAGCCCCGTGGAGGGCTTCTCATTTGCTCGATGCGATCTGGTCAAAGCTTAGGAAGCCCGTGCTCAGGTGAACAAACCAACTACCGTCCAGTACCATGCGGTTAGAGATCTGCCAAGTGCTCACTTGGTTCAACATGCCTGGAGAACAATTCCATTTCTTTGGCCAGAGTCAGGGATAAGATGGGATAAGTCTTGCGCATTCTTCCTTTCATGTAACCATGGTGAGGATTAACCTGGTGAATCCCACTGGTTAATTTCCGAATATTTCTATAGATTGAAAGTGGAGTCTCTAGCCCATCCATGCCCCTTCCCATACGATTTTGTATGGGGTTCCATATGGTCTCTCGACCCTTTGGTAGTCAGAAAACCGGTCTTAAGATCAACAGAAACTTTTACTTTTGCAACTCCATGCCCTATTATACGGGAACAAGCATTAACGTTTCAAACAAGACTTAACAATCATTTAAGAAGACATCAACTTTAGTTAAAGAAAATATGTTTGTTTCCTTTCGATTCTTTAGGTCAGTCAGTTTTACAAGCCAAGGAACACGTCTTAGGAAACAATTGAATTTTGAAATGGCATCACTTCACTTAAAGATAGCCATTTTTTGCTAAAAAAGGAAGAGCCAGAAAGGCAACCGCAAGCAACCACTAAGCAGCAGCAAGTATTCGCCCATAGAATATCACGAAACCCCCACGATGCTAAAAAGAACTGAAGATGCGGATCAGGCATCATCCCTTATGAGGATAGAGGACTTGACCAAACCACTACCTGGACCGGCTAAAACCATGTCAAACAACGTTCTGGAAACCTCATGGAGTATGCGTATATATGTATATATATATAATATATATATATATGGACATCTATAATGACCAAGACCTGTCGTACATTCTAAGGTTCGGTGCGACTGGACCCTCCAAACCTATACGTAACAGTGTTGAACACATCACCGTATACCTCGGAGGGTGTTGGATCCCTAAAGCCTTCGCCCATGGCAGCTGATCCGCTGAAATAGTGCAGAGTTTTCCTATGTTTTGCCCATGCGACAAGCTACCCTCAAGGTACTGTACGCAGTACTCCTAAAAATGCGGCCCCGGTCACACCAGCGTACTCTCTATTTGCGAAACATAGATTTTTATAACGAAACGCGGCCTTCAACTGCGAATAATACCGCAGATGTGCAAAGCATGCCGCCCATCTGTTTTTTGGCTGACAAAAGATGAGCTGTGAGTGTCTTCGAGTTCGGCTTGCAACTTGTTTCCACCATTCCCGTGGTGTTCTGAGATACGCGAATCAAACCATCGCTTGGCCAAGGAAAGAGGAATGAGACAAGCGCAGCAGCAAAACCAGCAGAAGACCACCACACCAGCAGCCCACCAACAGACCAGACAAGCAGTACACCAACAGCAGACCGCCAGGTGCAGCACTTTGTGAACCTCAAAGTGCGGATTTCGTTGCAGGCGCAGCACTTTGTGCACCTAAATGCTCTCGATTTCAAGACCTGCAGATCGCACTCTGTGCTATCTGACGCGTGCTCTCAGATGCATGTGTGTTCTGATGATTGTGCTCTCATGTGTGCGCTCACTTTCTCTCTCTCTCTATCTCTCTCACTCTCACTCTCACTCTCACTCACCCTCAGTCTCACTCTCACTCACTCAGTCTCACACTCATCAAGAAAATTTGAGCGCCTAGATAAGAGGGTGGTTAGTCAGAGCAGGGTCGCACGTATCAGCAGAAATTAGATGTTTTATATTGTTTTGCATTTTTCACGTTTATCATTTTCCATATTTTCAAGCATGCTTTCTCATGTTAAATCGTTATCACATGTTTATCAGCTTTTTTACACTTGAAAATCGAAATATGTTGGTGGAAAACGCCTGCTTTGTCATCTTTGTCCCTCGTGGCATAGCACAAAACCAAGTTCAAAAAGCAAGGCAGACTTCCAGTAGACTTTTCGAGCGCATGTCGATTGCCAAGTGACTATGGCCTAGTAACTTGATTCTGTTGATGTTGATTGCCCTTTTGGAGCCCTTGGTGTGTCTTGTCGTGTCCGTTCCAACACTTGTTCTCTTTCGTCATTAAACTTCACTTGACTTGAATCATGCTTCACTGCAGCAGATTGATTTTTGCAGGTGGCCTCCCAGGTAGCGTCTGTGACGTTTTACCTGGTTCAATTGGGCCATGTTATGTGGGACTTGCGCAGCAAGGATGCCCTTTTGAACTATGGCACTTAACCCTGCTCGACGTGTTTATGCCTCCCTGCACGCGCCTCGGCAGAGCCACTGAAGTTGTGGCTCACGCCCCCTACCTGGACTACCTGGACCTATCCTTTCTCAGGAACTCCGGCTGCATCTGTACATTGCCCCCCGAGCAAAGCCACAGCAGATCTTCCTGGCTTCGGGACACAGCGGCAGGCCGACACTTGTTCGGAAAGCAGGCTCTCACACCCCAGATGCGAGCGCATGACCCCATCGCAAAGACCGGTGAATTTCACGACAGGGTCTGCCTGTCGTTACAGCAGACTTCACACTGTCCCACTCCAGGCAACATAGGCAAGACTTTGAGAAGACAGTTGACTGCAGCAGTCATATAGTCCAGTTTCAATGTGAAATTATTGGTTTGCATGATTTCTCATGTTTTCTCATGTTTCGAGATTTCTTGAGAGATTTTGAGTTGGGAAAATGATATTCCCTTTTAACTCCGAGAGTTTTTGCGATGTTTCAAGTTTTTGCGAGATTTCGAGATAGTTTTTTTGATTTTTTCTGCTTGTTCCTATGATTTTTCCTTTTCCTGTTCTTGCTATTGTTTTATTGTTGTATTCGGTTCTATTGTTCCGTTGTTTTCTTTCCCTGTCTTCACAGCAAGGACGCAAAACAATGAACTGTGAAGTAAACTCATGGTGTGTCAAAGTCATCTATACTATCAACTTCTGACTTAAGATGTGCACCATGGTGGAAAACATGTACAAACATATCTGGTTTAACTTTCTCAAACCTTTAAATAGATAAGTTCACCAAGTATTCAAACACTGTTCATCGTTGAGATCATGATTTTATCTGTGCAACCCCATTTCACGAAAGGTAGCCCTTTAGGGGATACCTTGAGTTTGTCTTGCGAAGCAAGTGTTGGGACGTCCGGGTCTAATAATTGATCGCTCAATTCAGACCCCCCCC